TTCTCTGCTCCCTTTTCTGTTTCCTCTTCTGCTTCCTGCCCTGCTTCCTGCTGTGGTTCCTGCCCTGCTTCCTGCTGTGGTTCCTGCCCTGCTTCCTGCTGTGGTTCCTGCCCTGCTTCCTGCTGTGTTTACATGCTCTCTGGGTGCCTCACCTCAAACTTCCTGGTCTGCTGTAAATCCAATCCAGGACCAGGGCTCTGTGGATCCTCTTGAACCAACCGAGCTCCAGGAAAGCATCTCCGCTGCCAACCAGGAAGCTCAGAGAGCCACGAACGGTGAGTTCTTCCTTCGGCTGGACTCCTCAGGTTCTGTTCTGGCTGAGAAAACCAAACTTTTTTTTTTGGTCTGTGCGTCTCAGTGCTCATAGCGGTGCAGAGCGTCAACGAGTCGCTGCGTGGAGACGACCCCAGACGTACCGTGAGCTGCCTGATGAACTCTGACCTGCAGCTGCCTGAGGTGTTCCCGTCGGCTGCGACGCTTTACCACCGTGAGCTGCAGCTGCTGCAGAGCCGGACTGCTGAGGTAAACACACCTGAAACCAGCAGGTAACCGTATGCAGAGGCCTCTGTTGCATCTTTAGTCAATTTTACAACTGTTGGTAAAGTCGATGTAGACAAATAATTAACATAAGATTAACCCTTTATAGGGCACATTAAAAATAAAAATTTCAAGCAAATAGTGTTATTGGAATCCAGGAAAAGATCTTATTACCTTTTAACATAAAAAAATATGGATATTTTAATTGCAAAAATTAATCTCAATGTAATAACAAGAAACGCCAATGAATATATTAAGAAAAATAACAAAAGTGCTTCTATAAGAAACTCAGGAGAAACACTTTTTTGTTTGTTTTCTTTTCCTTCGGTACAACATAACCTTAGAGGCATTAATGCTGATACTGGCACTTATATTTAGGTTTATAAACTACAAAAATGTAATTGTTAACTAGACTTATTAACTTTTTAACTTTAACTTTTAACTTTTTAATTAGTTTTTTACCTTTTTTTTTCCCCAACTTAATTTCCAGTAGGTAATATATCATTCGATGGCTCATCTAATAGAATTACTCTCAAAACCTTTTTTATTATTCAAAGTTCCATTTTTAAACACATTTTCTCCTAATTCGCTTTTTTTAACTTGTTTTTGGTTTTCATTGATAATAACATTTCTCTCCATATTTTGCGGCGTCGCTTTCTGCTCATCCATCACCTCCGAACCGCCTCTCGTTCACGCAGGTGTGTTTCCTGTTTTCTCCTCTAGGGGGAGCTACATCAGGAAGAGCTTTTCGTTGCTGTGGAGATGTTGTCAGCTGTCGCTCTGATCAATCAGTGTCTGGAGGCGGGACATGTGCAGAAGTTCGGCTCCTCGTTGGTCAGTCCCTCTGCAGGACTCTGTGATGTAGACCCCGCCCTCATGGACAGGTGTGAGGTGTTTGTCGCTACCTGTCCCTGAACTCTGCCTGATGACGAAGATGATGACGATGTGGTCTCTCTCGATCAGGTACTTTGAGCTCCTGTTGGACATGAAGCAGCAGCTTGGCAGAGGCCTGCTGACCTGGAATCAGCTGCAGGAAGGAATCAACCGGGTGAACGGCTCGGCCCACAACGAACACCAGCGTATGAACAACACAACTACACACCAACAAACACGCTAACGCAGACGCATCACGTTACCTGTGCCTACCTGTGTGACAGAGCTCCTGGCGGTCGGCCTGATAAACGAGGCTGTGATGAGGGGAGATGTCCAGCAGCTGTCGTCTGCTCTGATGCTGCCATCCTGTGGTCTGGAGGAGGTCATGCCTGCCAACGCCTGCAGGTACCTGACCCTGCTGACCCGATCCAGACAGCAGAAAGTCCAGGTATCCACCGGCTCCGATCAAAACGTCTTCCTCAGTGACGTTACAAAAAAAACAAATCTAAAATCTTTTCTGCCTTGCTTCTACAGATGAGCAGAGACTCGGGAGCTGAGCTGTGGTTGGCTGATATCCAGGAAGCGGTGAAGCTGGCCAATCAGCAGAGCCAGAAAGCCCTAAAGTGTAAGTCCATTCAGAAAGATGACCGACCGTCAGATCTTATGTGTTGTCGTCTGTATGTGGCGTCTGTTTTCAGTCGACTGACCCGGTTTGCTGTCCCCGCAGTGTGCCTGGCGGTGGCGGCGGTGAACCAGGCGGTGAAGGAGAACCGGGCCAAGCAGACTCTGCGTGTTCTGTCATTGCCAGAACTGGAGCTGCGTGGAGTTTTATCAGACTGCGCCGCCGATTACCAGCGAGAACTCAGCTCGCTGATCACAGACAGGGCACGCTCAGGTAACGGCCACAAGGAGGCGCTGTGATCCTGCAGGACTGAGGCGATCCATAGATGATCTCACTGTGTGCGTGTTCAGGTAACGATCGGAGTCCATGGGTTCGAGTCCAGCTGGCGGACGGATCATTTTATTACTTCCACCTGAACACTCTGGAGGGAAGCTGGGAGAAACCGAACGGATTCAAACATCACGGACTGTTCATCGGCCCGCAGGAGATCCAGGTGGGAGTCCAGAGCTAATGTAGGGCCCTATAAATTCCGTTTTTTTTCCCCCAAATTCCGTTTTTTTTTTTTCCCAAATTCCGTTTTATTTTTTCCCAATTTCCGTTTAATTTTTTCCCAAATTCCGTTTTTTTTTTTCCCAAATTCCGTTTTTTCCGTTCTAATTTTTGAAAATTCAGTTTTTTCCGTTTTATGTATGTATTTTTGGGCTTCCAATCAATGGAATGTTGACAAAACTTGCAAAACAATAGTTGACCCGACACGTAAAAGTCACGAGGGAACTGCTCGGCTCTGTACTCAGGGCTTAGCGTCGCGTTTCTTAACTCTTTCGCGGAAAGCGGAGCTGTGGAGAGCCGAGTCGCCATTTTTTCAATGTTTTGATGGGGGAGGGTGAGCGGAAATGATGGAGCGAGACGGGTTGTGTCACACAGATTTGCGTCCCCCGGTGTGCATTTCCCCCCGACGTACGTTCTTCTCCCGCACAAAAACAGAATTTCATTTCAAATGTAGAAATTCTGCGTTTACACTAGATTCCGCGTTAATTTGCCAATTTCGCGGTTCCGTGGTCGCGGAAATTATAGGGCCCTAGCTAATGTTCTGCAACGACCGCAGTCTGTCCACGGCTCAGTGTTAA